TGTTCTTTACATATATTCTTTTCAACCACCAAAAAATTAAATTTTAATTAAAATCGAATAAACTGACTGATCTATCCTGAAAGAACAAAACCAACTCAATCCTTTTTTTAAAAACTCCATCATTCACCATTTCTATTTTACAAAACCAACTCGTCGATGGTAGTTTAAGTGTCCATCGAAAATATCAAAGAAAGAAGTCTAATAATATATTGAGCAGCACGTAATAATAATGGATTTTGTAGGTCTGAGTAACCTATGCAAACCATTGCTGGCGTCAGCAATGACACTATTTTTATGCCTCCTTTATATAATATTTCACTATAGCCGTCGGAAAGAGGTAGACGTTAGTGGACACATCAGTTTTTTCATATTTCGTACTGTAATGTCTATGATGATTCGAGGTTTATTAGATCGATTAAAATAAAATATTAACACGACACAACCTATCTGTCGAGACCATATTTGGCGTATAAACAATTAATTATTTGCTTGTAGAACGTAATTATCATTGGGAGTGGGCAACATACTGAAAATATGGGCTAACAATCAATCAAACATAATGAAAAATGTGACAGCCGAAGTATAGCAAACAGATAAATGAAATATGCCAAAAATTTTAATTTGCCTTCGTCAACTCTTAAATGACACTCTTCTGTCCTATGGAAGATAATTCGTCTGATTATACATTTGTCAAGCTTGGATCAGTATAATGAATGACCCAATGTCATTTTATATTGATTCCCTAATCTGATGCACGAAGCTTTAGCCGAGGCTGAAGCATGCAATGGTCAAATGAACGGTGAACTGAAATGTGACGTTTTCAGGTCAAAACAGGCGAGTCGGCGAAAGGGCATTGTTGCATTTAACCTGTTCAAGGGTTGGCCAAGTCTGACATAGACTAACCGCACACCATAACTCCTCTTGACCTTCCTTGACTGCGAAAAGATGATTTTTGAAATTTCATATCATTTTTTGGTTGTTTATTTCACTCAGATTATTAACAGTATTAATTATATTAAATTTACATTCATTAGAGAAAATTATTTTCTTCAATTTGTTTCACTTAACATATAAAAAGCTTCCTGCGAGCGGGTTGTGATTTAAAATGTGATAATTTTACAGCTAATTTAGAACACTTTCTGTTAAGTTTTTATGCTCATTTCATAAAAAGCAATCCTTTTTTAAAAAGATGATTCCTACTCACAGTAAGTTGTTTCGCAACAATCCGGATTTCGAGCCCTTTAGCTCATCATCAGGTTGAAGGTTTCATAAAAGCATTTGATTATAGTGTTCTTCCAATGGTTTTGGTTTCCTTTGGATGGGACGGAATTACTCATGATTTAATGAACATTCCATCATGTAATTATTCAGAAATCGTGAGATGCGGTCTGGTGTGATGTAGGTTTCAGAAAAACATTTTCTTTATCGTGCCATTGTTTCGATCTTTATTGAGATCATCTTCTATGATTTCTAAATAATTATCGATTAACGGTCACTAATCACCACACATTCCATCATGTATTTTAAGTATTACAACAGAGTATTTGATTTTAAATTTAAAACAGAACTGAGCTGGTTTAAATTTTATAAAATTGAAAATACGTTCAAGTTGAGTTTGGTATTCCTTATTACGTTGTAATATAAGCACTCATTGGGGCGTCGTCGGCCGCAACGGTTAAGACGTTGATACAGATACTCAAGATAAAGGTGCTGGGTTCGTATCTAGCGATCTAGTAAATTTTCTTGAACAACATTCTCAGCGTGATCTTCGGTTATCCAATCGTGGTTTGTAGAATTAATATACAAAATATGTATTGTTTTGCACTGAATTTAATTAATTTAAAAAATAATTGGGGTAGATACCTAGTGGGCTGGCATGAGGATTCTGAATCCTTTTGAAGACGGACATTAAGATTTTAAATTATACAATGCCATTAGTCGCCAAATAAATTATAAATGTTAGCAATACAATGTGTGATGTCCCATTAGTAAATTTTGGAACGATATCCTGCAAACACGATTTTTTAGCTCTGTCATTACTAACAGCTAAAACTTTGCCCCTTCGATTTTTGCTATCCACAGACCCAACAATTCCTTTTCACCCTGGATATTAATCCGCAATGCCAGATAGACAGATTTGTTAATTACAGAGCCGGAATCTTGGATTTTAATGACAATACAATCAAGATAACCAATGGATAATTTTTTCCCCTTAAGATCTATGCATATTAACCATGGTGACGAATTCTTGTATGTGTGTTCATATTTGGGGGGGGGGGTATCGCCAAAAAAGGGCCAGAGGCGACGTTGGGAATCGAACCCACAAACGCGGCGTCTATGAGCCGAGAGTCTCTCACGCGAACTACTCGGCTACCGCGGTCCCCCTAGGATAAATATGATTATTAAGAAAACGTGAGATGCGGTCTGGTGTGACGTAGGTTTTAGAAAAAACATTTTTTCTATCGTGCCAACGTTTCGATCTTTATTGAGATCATCTTCAGGGCTAAAAGGGTTTGTTTTCACTGTCACTAATCACCACTCAATAGGATAAAGTACACCCAAGTAGAATTATTCTCAATCAGAAAATTTCGCTTTCGTTCAAAAGCTACGTCTTCGACAATATTCTACGAAGAAATTTTAATGGTGGCGTGACAAAGCATTGGGTAGTTGTCCGACACTACGGATAAGCCTCTATACGGTGAAACCACCATCTACCACTGCTGCCGTGCGGTTTACTTCCACACGCTACGGACATTCATCCATGTGGAGCTATACGCCCGACTCCATATTTTGTATTTTTTATTGCCACTCATTACCAGGCTTAGCTATGTGGTATTTGAATCGCAAAGTGTATGTACGAAATTTACATTAACTTTTAATGAATTAGTCTAAATTCGAGTTGAAATCCTGGCGATTTTCAGGATTTACTTAATTGTTAAAGTACAGAACTTACTACGTCGGTCGTTAGACTGAAATGGAGAAAGTAACTGCATCCATCCGTACGATTTTTAATACTGTAGATCCTTCAAACGGCCAAATCCCTAGGGTGTAAGAGAAGCTGGAATCCCATCTTGGACACACTGGGGTTACCACATGATAGTATAAAATATCTGGCAACAGTTTAACATTATTGGGCTGCATTCACGAACATAAAAATTATGTAGTGTGCGGTGGCTCAGAGACGTCACTCTTGACTTCGACATACGAGTGTTTCGATTTATTAATTTGACTGTGTTGTCGGTTAATAGCAGAAAAGTTATGATTATTAAATCTATCTTATTATATGCACTTTTATTTACAAAAAAAGAACATCTCGACCAATCAATTTAAATAAATTAGACGCAAAAGCAGTTTATTTGATCTTATTCGAATGAAATTAAATTATTATTTTTGTATGGTGTTTAGTGACCGTTAGTCAATGATTATTCGGATATCGTGAGATGCGATCTGGTGTGTCCTTATCGTGCCAACGTTTCGATCTTTATTGACATCATCTTCAGAGTTTGGGATTGACAAATATTGTTCAAATTTAACAAATACATGTAGGATGTGGAAAAAAATAAACTTATACAATGCAAAAAAAAGTTTGTATTCAATCAAAGTATTCGTATTGTTTCAGAAAATAAAGTTTGAGTGAGTACAAATACTTTGATTGAATATAATTTTTTTTGCATTGTATAAATTCATTTTTTTCACATCCTACATATATTTGTTAAATTTAAACAATGTTTGTACATCCCAGACCCGGAAGATGATCTCCATAAAGATCGAAACGTTGGTAGGATAAAAAAAAGGTTTTTCTAAAACCTACATCACACCAGACGACATCTCACGATCTCCAAATAATCATTTTAAACAATGTTTGTAAATATCAAGGCCTGAAGATGATCTCAATAAAGGTCGAAACGTTGGCACGATGAAATGTTTTTCTAAGCCTAAGTCACACCAGACCGCATCTCACGATTTCTGAATAATCATCGACTAACGTTCACTAATCACCACACAAAATAAATATAAGAAAGAACCCCCAGCTTTGTACGGTAATAAAGCGGTAAATTTAGACTGAAGGATTTAGATATTAATAAAAGGAATAGAATAATAATAATAATAGAATGCATAATTCGACACAAGTGATTTAGATTTTAAAAAATGCGACGATCTCGAAATAATCATTAAATTATACTTTTCTTGGATGTCAACGCTTGTACTTTTGCGCCCACCGACGCCCTTAAAAAACTTGCAAAAACTCCAAAATTTCCTCTTCTTTCAAAAACCCTGTAACGACGGGAACTGATAATTATGCACGGTTGAAATTGCAAATCCGCGTTTAAAAAATTAATTAATTACCGAATAATTGAATATAATATCCCACAAAATTATATTGTACTTTATATCAAATTGAACTGTTTTGATTTCTGAACTGAACTGCTTCATATAGTAGGAATATGTACGTACTACCCTAATATGGTAAAAAAATATAAATGTAAAAAAGGTTTTTTTTTACAAAGTTGGGCTGAAATCGAGTACAGAGGAGAATCTGACGTTAACCTTTTATAAAATGTTGACAAAATATTTAAATTAATCAGCAAGATGAAGATGGATGGGTTTTTTTCGGACAGGCAGCGCGAAGCCGGGAGGCGCCAAAGTTCTCGGCACGTGCGGCTCTTGTGGCTGCTGCAACCTGGCGAGCCGCAGACTAGTTAGCACGTCTCACAACGACGTAGCAGGTTAGAAACAGAAATGGGCAGAATAAACAGGGGATTTCGATTTTAAGGAAAGAAAAAGACGCGGAAGGCGAGTTCAAAGGACGCCCGAGGACTGGAAGACGTCTGATAGCGGGACGAGGAAGGAGTCGGCGTACGGTCGCTCGAGTCGCGGACACTGGAGAAACGGCACTCTAAACAGTTTCTAAACCCGGGATTGGTTTCAGGCGCATAGGGCAGGTGTAAAATCATTTTGAAATGAAAAGAAAGTAAACGGAAGTGTTTTGAAACTCTTACCTGTCTAACGTGGAGGCGATGTTCGTCCGTAGCCGCGGTTTCGGGCGTCCGTAGCGCGTTTGAAAGGCGTCGGTGGGCGGTCGTGATGCGCATGTAGGCGGGGCGAGTGTCCCCGCCCAGCCGTCATGACGTCACAGGGCGGCCGCGCGCCCCCTGACGAGCCTTGACGGATGGACGGCCAGTCGTTCCTCGACCCTCGAGTTGGCCAGAACCCCGCCGGACTGTGAATGTGACTCCTGTGTGACTCTCGACGAGATGACCCAGTGAGACAAGTGTCGAAATGACCCCCGCCGCATAGGTCCACAGATCCGCCCCTCCCCCGAGTGTGATCCCAAAAATTTTGTTTGTTATTTGGATCGAGGTGCCTTCTTCGAGATGACGCGGAGGAAGCAGAACTGCCCCAAAAGGATGAAATGTGAGTAACGTCTTTCATCCGTTTACATTCCCTTCCCAGACGAACGGGACAAATAATAAATCGAGAAAATAAAATCCCTTTAAAAACTGACATACGAACGATGCCAGACCGTAACGAGAAACGCCGAGCGAAAAATAGTACGCGTGTAAATTGTCAAACGAACATTTTGGTATCAATCGAATCATGAGGTCGTCCATCTCGCAACGATCACGTGCCTGTGTTTACATCAACCCTCGACACCCCCACTACCTCGTGGCCGGCGATGCAACCGGCGGAGGTGGTCACAAACCAATTTGTCTTCCTCTCTTTTCAAGTAATTAACCACGAAAAGTGGAAAAATTCCATCGAACCACGACTGGAAAATCGCCGCCGGAAAACGCGCCGATTCTCGGGGAAAACCAGATTTTCGCGAGTGCCTCGGGTGACAAATTTGAATTGATAAACGCAAACATGCAACAGCCTCACGATAATCGAAAATTATGATCAGTTATCAAATTTTAAAAAAATCTACTCTCAAAAATTGAAGCATTAAACGACCACTAAGTAACAGCACGTTCGTCTCTGTGTTCTATGATTATTTGAATCTGTGTATTATGTAAATTTACATATTTTCGACTGACAACATTGAAAGTGCAAAACGTTTTTTTAGTTAGTAAAGTAGAATCTCTCGATTTTATAAATTTTGCGTAAAATCTTAAAAATGTGTTGTTTTCAGTAACTGTGTATCGTGAAACTAACTCTCTACAACCAAAGTATTAAAATTAGGTAATCAATTATTAACGATCGGCTTGGTTTTTGGTAAAATGATAGAAAAGAAAATAATCGCTCTCACTTTTTTTTCAATAAATGCCGAAAATTTGTTCAGATTTATTCACCAGGATTAAAAATAAATTAATTCGTTCGTTTTATTATGTTTAGGTGTTTTTTTTTTTTAAATCAGCAATAATGCTCCTATTTTATTCAATGATTTTATAGTAATCATTTGAAAAAAAAAAAAAAAAAAAAAAAAAAAAACACCCTTCTTTATACATATCGTAGTTTCCCTGTGTGGTTTTTGGTTTTTTTAAGTTTCCCGATTTTCCAAGCCTTTAGGCGGAAAAGTAATTTTTAATGTGGGTTTAATTTTGGCAAAATCCCACGTTTTTAGTTAGAAAGAAAAAGACACATTCCCGTTGAAATTGTCTTTCAGGATTTTAAAAATTGAAAAAAAAAAGTTCAAAAATATGTTTTTCGATGTTTTTTCGTGCCTTACGCTTTTTTTTTACAATATCAGAGATTCGCTGCGTCAACAGCAATTTATCGTTTCGGACAGTTTCTGGATGATTTAACGATGATCGTAAGACTAGTCCACTGTCATATCACAGCGAAAAGATATATTGGAATTAAATTTTATTGAACGTATAAACATTTTATATTTTTGAATGAATATACTTTTTACTTTTGATAAAACGGAAAAACGCCCAATATCGTAAATGTGCCTGAAATTCACTTTTTAAGTGTCATTTTAGTTAATTTCTAAAAATAAACATAATAATAAAAATACAATAAATATATTAAATAGGAACACCAATAATTTGTTTATTTTGTATGCTAATTTCTACAATAACTATTTGATTTACTATTCATATTCATAATATAAAATTAATTATTCATCCTCGGGGGTCGTTTAAAGCCAGAGTTACATCTTAATCTTATTGTTGTTGCACGCGTTGATTACAAGTCGTTATCGAACATTGGCCGGGATTCAGAAATTTTAAACGGTTTTTGAAAAAAATTTTTGGACCATTTCCCTGCTCACCCTTTGCAAAGGCATGCGGGAAAAAACCGTGGGAGTGGAGACTGTTTAAGGTTGTCAGTATTGACGAACCCGTGTGGTCTAGTATATGAATATATATTAAACTGGCTCTATTAAGGACGGTAAAATATAATCAATATTTTATGATAAGATACTTAGGAATAATTAAAACGAATTTTTTTTCGTTTACTATTCAATTTATTTTGTTTGGGGAACAAATATGACATTAACAGATTGATATTAAGCACGAGTGAGAAAAATCGTAGGTTGGATGGATTGTAACAAAAATGAGGCGTAGTTAGTTGATCAAATTGTCTGATATTTAACTTTGACGACCTAAATTAGAAATGATTTATTATTTATATAAATATTAATAATGATATAATAATAAATAAAATAATAATGTGATAATTTCTAGTCGACGTTTTTCCGCGCGTAGATTTCTTTCTATCTGTAAATAGTACTATTTCTTTTGAGAAAATTTAGATAATTATTAATAATTTATTTACTAAAATTTTCACTCTAGGAGAAAATTCACAAAAAAATCTAATTAGGAATTTATCCTCACCATTGTGCATTTTTTTAAATCTAAATCACTTGTGTCGAATTCTCTTTCATATTATTCTATTATTATTATTATTATTCTATTCCTTTTATTAATATCTAAATCCTTCAGTCTAAATTTACCGCTTTATTACCGTACAAAGCTAGGGGTTCTTTCTTATATTTATTTTGTGTGGTGATTAGTGATCGTTAGTCGATGATTATTCAGAAATCGTGAGATGCGGTCTGGTGTGACTTAGGCTTAGAAAAACATTTCATCGTGCCAACGTTTCGACCTTTATTGAGATCATCTTCAGGGCCTGATATTTACAAACATTGTTTAAAATGATTATTTGGAGATCGTGAGATGTCGTCTGGTGTGATGTTGGTTTTGGAAAAACATTTTCTTTATCCTACCAACGTTTCGATCTTTATGGAGATCATCTTCAGGGTCTGGGATGTACAAACATTGTTTAAATTTAACAAATACACGTAGGATGTGGAAAAAAGTGAGTTTGTACAATGCAAAACATATTTTTTATATTCAATCAAAGTATTTCCCTTCAAAATCCAACGTATATAAACATAAAAGCAATATCTCACTGGCACTCTCAACATGACACGCAAGAATGGCACAATTACACAGAAAAAAAACACTTTGAGTGAGTAGAAATACTTTGATTGAATATAAAGAATATATTTTGCATTGTATAAATTCACTTTTTTCCACATCCTACATGTATTTGTTAAATTTAAACAATGTTTGTAAATCCCAGGCCGTGAAGATGATCTCAATAAAATTGGCACGATAAAAAATTTTTTCTGACATCACACCAGACCGCATCTCACGATTTCTGAATAATATTATATTTATTTTATCAGTCACTGACATGAAGACTAAATTTTCATCTAAACTGTTGCTGTTAAAAATATTTAATATAAATTTTTGTGCCATTAGCAATGAAGACGTGATTCAGACGTAACTTGACATAACTTTTACTTTCCTATTCTTAAAAGAAAAACATAAATTCGGATAAGGCGTTGACAAATTTAAAAAGTAAGTTAGATAATGGCTTCGACAGGATGATTTCAAACCAAATAGCTTAGATTTTTGTGTAATGACAATTTCCTCGATAATGTTGAAGGTTTTTCATCTGGCGTTGGTTGCTATTGAGCCGAGAAAAGTCGTGAGTAGCGAGTGTTTGGAAGTTGTCAACAATATTGACGAGCTCATGCAACAGTTATCGGGGTTTATCTCTCTTGTGTACACAGATAGGGTTGGCGCTCTGTTATTTGCTCTGCCGTCTCTACCCGGTAAGAGTGGCTCTTCGAAAAAAAGGAATCCCCGTGAGGTAGCAGTTTAGTTACAGACAAAAACGAGGAGTGAAAACAGATGATAGAATGAACAATGTAGTGTGAACAATGCCCCGTGATTGACAGGCAGGCATTGAGCCCGGCAATGACTGATAGATCCAGATAGAGAAGAGATAATAAATTGACTCCAAACAAAGGATAGGACGGCTTACAGATGCCGCATTACATCCTCCTCCGGTCTCCTTTCTCTTTACACCACTTTAGGGTTCTGAGATCCGTTATGAGATGTGGACGACAACTATGCGATTTAAGCTGGCCAGCCCTTCTCTTTAAAACCTTCAGAAATGTTAGACAATTCAAAACGCTTATAATTCTAGCGATTATAAAGATAAAGCTGTTTTAGATTCACGAAACGGTTTCCAGCAATATGGAACCCTTGCAGTTCCTCCGTTTCAGATCATCCTGGCCACTATTGAGCTGGTTTGTTCATCCGTAAAGCTGCAAGGGCACACCAGGGTGATCGAAGACGCCTAAACAAACAACTTTTATAGGCGCACACCTTCAGTGGTTTCTGCATACTCTCGTGGTGGATCTGAGCAATGAAAGTAACGCCAGACTCGCGAGAAAACAACGCGCAGAGAATTACTGCGGATAGCGAATTTGCCAAGCGCATGTGACAGACTGAACCATCAGAGATTAGGCTGATCAGGTTGATTATGGGTGATGGCCAGAAACGATGAAGCTACAAGTTAATCACCCTACATAAGAAATTTTACAATATCTAAGACTTAAGCGTGACTAGAGGAAAGTAGAGCAATTCAAGCAAACAAACTCATCACAATCGATTTTACATTGAGGCGCGTAAAACGTGGTCAACTTATCGTAAAACAGTAAAAAATAAACAAATAGCTGAATAAATTTAGTTGCAGTAGATGGCATTAGCTGTAGTACCTATTATGACTGGAGAAAATTACTGTAGTGTGTTCCATTTCATTCCAGTAACTATCGCTTTTATGTGTGGTG